TTTTTATATTATAAATCTTATAATAAATCATAAGAAAATGCAAACTTTAAAGAGCTATACAGCAAAATTTTATTAATACAACTACTTTTGTATCTTAAATGAAAAATAATTCTAATTTAATTTTAAATTGATTTATGTAAAAAAAACTTATTTGAAAAAATTGTCATTTTTGGCCTTTTTTCTAGCTCCTAACCCATATGTATGTATATACTTAGTATCATACGCAAGCATATATTATATACAAAAACAAAACAAGAATTTTAGAATTTTCTTTGCATTAACACTCTCAAACAATATAACTATTTTAGTAATTTAAAAATTAGTACCTACTGGTAAAAGAAATCAGAGGAAAGATATTCGCCTCTTTTTAAACAAAACCTAGATAGATAAACATATAAGCTCAGCAAACTGAACATTAAATTTTTGCTATAATTTGCAGGTTAAAAAAAAAAAAAAAAAATCTGATAAACTTTTGAACCTATATATTTTACAAGAATTATAAGTTTAGTAAAGTATATGATTATATGAAAATTTTAAATCAATTTTCATACAAATGAAGAAACCAAATCTTTTAAATTGAGACAACTCAATTTAAGCAATAAAAAAATTCAATCCAAAGTCTTTTGGACTTAAAAAAATTGTGTTTAATATTGGTCAGTATAGAACTAGAAGTAGTGTCACAAATGCAACTTATTTATGATAAGGTTTTAATTGTTTAATATTATACAATGTTTTATGTAAGACTAATATTAGTCTTTAATATTTTAAGAACTAGAATTTGAATTTATATTAGACCCAGAGATTTCATTTGAACTAGAAACCATATTAGAATCTGAATTCCTATTATCTGAATTCCTATTAGAGTCTGAATTCTATTAGAACTTGAATTCTCTGAATCTCTATTAGAATCTAAATCCTTATTAGAATCCAAATCTCCATTAGAACCTAAATCCCTATTAGAGCCTGAATTTCTATTAGAGCCTGAGTTTCTATTAGAGTCTGAATTCCTATTAGAGCCTGAATTCTCATTAGAATTAAGTAACTCATTTTTTTAGCATGACCAGGATTATGCTTCTCTTAAGATCTTTAAATATATTACTAATCAGTATATGAAAACAAATAGATTTAAAGTGATTTCCTTAAAGGGCAACAATCATAGTGATAGCTTGTATAGTATCTAAGTTTTTTTCTGTGATTACTTTGGTATATACAAGCCTAAAACTAAAAATTCAAATAAGAAAAGTAGAAACAAAGAATTAAAAAAATACAACTACTCTTAGTCAATTCATCTCAATTATAACCTGGAAGATGATAAATATTATATCTCACAAGTTAATCTCTACTATAATCACAACCTTATTCCTCCCTAACATATGCACATATTATCTACAAATTATGAAATACCTACTTTTATTAAAGAAGAAATTTTTACTTTAAGAAAAGCAGAAATTGCAGTACCATAAAGTTGGTTGACCCGTTTATTGACGAGTGACCCATTTTATTGAGTGATCCGTTTACGGGTCAGAGTTTGAACCCTA